TCTCATATATATATTTTTGTCATTTCTTCGTTCATCGTCCTCCTCTCTTTGTCGAGCAGTATGGTTTGGAAAATCGATAGGTCTTTAGAAATTTATGCCGAATTCGAAACGGACGTATTTCTGATTTCCGGTGTCGTGCGGATTTTCTTTCCCGTGAGTCATCCCCGCAATACATCAGCACCACAGCGCAACGTCACACACAGGACTCAGAAATACATCATCCCCGTAGTGTGAACGCTCCGCTCGATTTAATGCAATTGATATAGAATTTCGATGAAACAATGCAACTGAAAGCCGAGAATACCTTTGATACTGCAAACAGGAATTATAGTCTCTTGAACTAGCTATTATGTAGTTTATTAGATAATGGCGCGAATGATATACGACGGTAACCGAATTCGAGATCACTGCGGCAGTTTCAATTTAAAACAGGCGTTAACCTATTCGTGCAATCCTCACAGGATCTATCCAGCATTTACTGCGATGACGAAATTTGTATAATTTTACGATGAATGTTTAAATGGCGATAATATTATTACTGCAAGCATATCCTAGTAGATCGTTATGTTAGTTTAGTTAGTCATGACGAGATGTCGGCACCACGTGCTTCCGATTCTGCAACAATAATAATTCATGAATACGTTAAAATAATAATTATGTAAACCTTGTACAAATAGCAGATAATTAAAAGTATTTTGTATTTAAACGTTTATATGCATACATTACATAACAAACATTATTTGGAAGCAACTTCCATTTTATAACAATTAGTGTTCTTTTCATAATTACTTTTTTAGTTAAATATCCAGTAAATTGAAATTAACGTGAAATATTGAATATTGGTAATGATTATTTTATGTTTTAATATCAATAATTTTTAAAAAAACGTTATTATTGGGTCAGGAGATTAAAGTAGATTTATAAATTAAATAGTGTTCGATGTCAGCAATTTTTTTTTGTATTTATATGATGGATAAAGAGATGAGACTGGGAATTCCATAAGTGGAAAAGAAGATATGAATCAATTTGACCACAGGGATAAATCCCTATCGCTATCTCGATGTTTCCTACGACGAAAGGTTCTTCACTCGACCATGTAATCCTTTAAGACATTTCATAGAAGGAGGAGTCAGGATTCCTCTGTGCCGTCCGAATGTCAACCCCTCTCGGCAATTTGTTACGGCCGATAAACAGAGTCCGGCCCGACTGTTTTTGCGTAGTAACTTTTTAACCGCCGAATGCCACCCCATCGTTGGGTTCAGTGTCGCGCACACAACCATCCATCCTCTCCCCCAAGTCGAGGGGGAATCCCCTTATATTGTTATGGATATATTTATAACGTCTAAGGATAGTTAGCGATCTCGTAAAATCACAAACTTTACTGCGCGCTCGCTCTATGTTTGAGTGACATTCGTATGACTCATTTCCTACGAGTTTTTACTGCCGCGAAAATCATTCGAATTACTTTGCAAATTCGTATAAAACTGGCGAATAAAATGGTAATGATCGTTTGCAGCGATGCCGCACAGCCAACTACTCCAAACAACGAATTGCCTTGTTTTTGCGCAGCACGGAATATCCTTTTCCAACTTTCTATCCGTACTTTTATTATACGCATTTTGTTTACACAGATTTGGCAATTGCAGCTGACCTCGTTATCCTTAAACATTATTTTATGAAGTTAAAAAAAACAAACAAAATCCAATTTTGAGATTAATTCAATTAATCCAATTTAAAGTCAATACAAATTGGTAAATATTTTAAATTGGTAATGAAATATTTTAGTTCAATGCTTTTCCACAACGAAAATAATATAATTCAATATAATATAATTCTTTGTTTTTTTTTCATGTTCAATAAAAACCCAAGAAATCGGTAGAAGGTTTCCTAGTTTGATAATACTTTTATCTCAAGAGTCTCTTCTCGAAGACGTATTCAATTGAGTGGAACCTATTGATGGCTTACTTATCCTGCTTTCTATAATATAGATATATATTAGTACTAGTCTACTATATTATAGATAGTTTCCGGGAATTAAGTATTGACAAAGCAGAATTGTTTCAGAAATATTGACAAACATATTATTTTTATATCAAAGCATTATTTTTTTCAGTATGTTTATTGATTTTATCAATTGATTGATATTAATATGTTTTATTGAAATCAAAATATAAATTTAATTGATAGATATTATCTTAATAAAATTAAGATATTATTGTCTGTGTGAATGAGGACTTGAAATTATACTTCTTGTAGATCTTAAAGTTGCAGAGCTTTGGTAGTTCTTTATGACAATAATTAATAGTACTTTCTAATGATGATTACATTACTGATTGAAATCATTCAATTATGAATTTACTTTATATAATTTGAATAATTGTAATTCAATATTGGACATTATGACTTGGTGTATCTTCGGTAAACATCAAAATTTCTTATGCAAACATGTCCGATGCGTAATACGATTTCGGCCAACCAGGATTTATGTAAGTGGACTTAGCAAACCGCAACCAATCAGTGACGCCCATATACAAGCGTTTAAAGCTCGATTAACTTTATTTACATTGCGTTGCGTGCATCGGTTCGAAGCGAATGTTATACATACATTTCCTAACTGTATACAAGAGCCTTTAAAATCGCCTGCATGCAAAACTTGTTTTCTCTTGTCCACTCATCTAATTCGAAAGTAATGTTAATAACATTTGTTGTCTCTATAAAGATTGCATCCTTATTACCTCCTATTTCACTGTAACTATTGAGTGTATGTACGCAATCATTAATTAGTGATATTCCGGATGTTTTTATTAGTGTATTCCAAATAAACAATTGATATGAAACAAATTAAGATTAGTTATTTATATATTGATTAAATTCAAGTGGAAAGTATACACTATCAAGACTGTGATCTTATGGGAGAGACAGTATAATAAGATACTTTGAAATATGTTTTTGAAAGGTTCATAAATATGACGAAGCTTTATTTCGCTATAAAATGGAAACAGTTATTGTGTTCCGATAGAAGGCAAGTGCAGCATTAAAGAAAAGGGTGGCTGTGTTTCGGTAAATATGATTAAAAAAGAAATGCATCTGAAGAAAAAATGGTTTATGGGGGAAAAAAAAAATCGGCGACGATAAAATAAATCTCATCCACCAATTTATATCGGCCACAATCAGACTTAACGCGATTAGTGGATCGTTTGAATGCGAGGCGCGAGTTGTGCGAACTTACTTCCCGGAATTGCCTTCGTCTGCGAAGGCGGTGCAGGTACTACAGGGTACTAAGGCCTCCCGCAATTGCCATACGATACTGGCTTCTAGCGCCCTTAAAAATGTGCGCGGAAGTGGAGAAGGAGGAATAGTAGTAGTTCTGGGGGGCTGCTGAAAAGGGTGGCAATGGGAGGATCTATTTGGGAGGCAGGTTCGCGAGTTCAGTTGAATCCGCTCTCACTCGGCACGGAATTAACCCTAAATTACATTCGTTTCCCACATATTGCGCACACCATGTGCACAAATGCATTTAAATGAGCATCGATTTTAGTTCATGCATCGGCCGCACAGAATATATTTTCGCTGAGTCCCATATAATTTTTGTTTTGTTTTCAGTTGGTTTTATTTATTTTCCTATCCCCCCGTTTTTAGTTTGCTCGCTGTTGTGTTTTTTTTTGTTTTAGGGGGGAAATGTGTGTTTTCCATAATTCAAGATTCAATTTCGATTTTTAATGCCCTCGGCCGTACCCAAAAAATGATTACAAAATTTTAATTTACAAAATGAAATACTGACTGACTGTCTAGATATATTTTATTTTATGCGTATCTATTTTGTTGATTCATGCAAATCCAATACATGCAATTTCTATTATCATCCCCTTTTTCAACAAATTATTTTGTTGTATATTCTCTCATATTTGTTAATAAATCTTCAAAGCAACTTTTTTATAAACATAATGATTTGTATTAAAAGGTTACGAAACATTTCTTAAGGTCGGAATCGATTTAGAATTATATGTAAATTACATAAATATTAAAATTTTATTGTTCACATTCACATCAGGTCTGTAGATTAATATAAAAATTGGTATTTTCAAATGAAGAAAATGTAAAAAAAAAATCTGAATTTTATATAACTTTATCAAAATAAATACTATGAGAAAATATCTTTATAATATATACTCTTAAATCTGAAGTGTGAAAAGCATTAGAAGTAAAATATATAGTATAGAATCATGTGATATGTAATATGGGTCAGCAGATCCGAAATCAGGATTCAAGTCAGGTCGTGATGTCGGATGCGTTCCCTGTCATCGCGGAAATTCCTATTCCCATAGTCCTGGCAAACACGCGGCTCAGTTCGGCTCGTCCGTTGTTCCTTCCTTTTTCCTTTCCTTGAAAGTTTAACATCGTCCAAAGGTAGGAGCACGTCCGTTGTTTTGTATGAAACGGAGTGAGTTTTATCCTCCTTACTGTGTGGCTGGAAGGACGTAATCTTTTATCTCTCACGTCTCTTTCCGTGTGAAGCTATGCACGTCGTGAAAAGTTGATGAGCCAGAGGATATCCAGGCCATAGGCGGAATTAAACCTCTAAATAAATAAACGGACACTGCTCAAATGGAATTAAACCCAATGTTTTCTCTCCCTTTCCATCTTCCTCTGCGTTTGTTTTTTTTAGCCGACCAATGTTTTCCTAACGAATTCGTGCAGAATCTGCTTCACTGGGTCACTAATTGACACACAAACATATGGGATCAATTTGGATTTTGCAATTCCACAATTGCATTCCTATAGTCTATATAAATAAATTCACGATTCGCGAAAATGTTCTTCTTTAATTCTAAGAGCTAAGAAAACAACGCCGTTATTGTAACTATATACATATATTTAAGGCTTATGCAGATGCGTTCTGTAAGAAGGGAGAACGAGACTAAATCAATGCATGAATATTTAAATTGTGAACCGTCTTATGTAGATGGAGTGATTAAAATGTTTGAATTTTGCATTTTCAGTTCCATCCATCTCTGGATACAAGTACATACAAGGCGATTGGGACGCATAATCTGCGATTAAAAGAGAATGTGATGCGAGCAAAGCTTCAACTTCCGCCAAGTAAAACCCGAGCCGCCTGGATGAAGGAACGCAAAAAGAAAAAATCCCTGAAAGCTTTCTACAAACCGCCTCCGCAAGCAATCAAATGGATAACTTTTGAATAAAAAAAATGCTCGCGCGCAATGCGATGCTTCTTTTTTTCGCGTCCCCAATAATATGTCTGGCATGAAAAGTGTAGCTGAAATGTGCAAATAAAGAATATTCCTGTCTGCATAAAGCGTATATTTTTAACCGCAGAACTTTGCAGAAGGAATAGCAAATACACATAATTTTAACAGACATTTATTATCGTTAGAGTACAAGTTTAATAGTCAATTTCCGATATAATATCTTAATAGCGTTGGTTAATTTATAGAATATATTTTGTACAGTATTTCTTTTATATAAAATAATTAGACAGTGTATAGAATGGAAAACTGTTTCCTACTTACAATTACAAGATATATTCAATAAAATACGTTATTAGATTTAGTGTATTTATTAGAAATTTAAGAAAAAATATATTTGTAAACAGTACATAGACAAATACTAGGGTTTCACAAACTTTCCTTTAACAGAACATTTCGAAAATCCTGAAATTTTCACGGAACATAGTTTGGGAAACTTTGGTCTAATCCAACTTAACCTAACCAAATCTTAGCCCAAAATAATGCAACATAAACTAACCAAAAATACAATTGAAATTAAAAATTTCTAGTTATTGACGTAATATTAAAGCTGAATTTAACAATTTAAATGTCCAATGATAAATCTTAATATATTAACAACATAATAATAAAATTGCACTTTTAGTATTAAATATAAATTAAATTATTAAAATATTCAACTGCTCTTTATGTATGTAAAATAATATTAATGCTTTCATGTACTAAATATGTAATATTCTATGAGGCGTTTCGTATAATACGAAAAGTTTCATTATTGTTCTAACAGGTTTTAAAGCTTTTCCACAGAGGACAGCAATAAGGTAATTGCTTCTGGCAAATTCTATTATTTTCACTTCAAAACTAAATGCCTGCCTGCCTGTAGTGCGCTCCGCTTTTATAGCCTTACATAATCACGATCAAAATCGCACACCATTTCGTTAAACATCGCATTGTATAAGCTCGAACTTTGAATTGCTTATATAATAATAGTCTTTAATTTAAGATTCTGCGGTATAATAACAATATACTATTATTTTGATTATTTATATATTTATTTTTTAATTATTAGTTAAATTTAATTAAAAAATATTCTTAATTGCAGATGGTATGCAAATGCGTAAGTTCAACTAATTGTTAACGTTAACAAATTAATTCATTAGCTTTAAGTTACCAAATCACCATTTACAATTTAGTATAAATTATAAATCAAATAATAAACAAAATATTGGTGATTGTTTGATTTTTTTTTAAGGTAGAAATAAAAATATAATTGTTTGCTGCATTTGTTGGAGCTGAAATGGTATTAAATTGTTAGAAAAGTTTTAGTGGAAATTCTGTCACACGGAATGGAAGTTTGAGTGGAATTAAGGTGCTATGAGCGTACCAATCGTAAAATCGTTTAAACGCTGAAATTGAGCAGAAATTACAGTCGTGTTTTCGAACGTTTCAAATTGCAATTATAATTTAATGCGAATTACATTGTCAGACACAAGAAAATTCAGTTTACCGATTCCAGACAAATACACAAACAATTGTTCATATTATAATCACATATACGAAAATGCAGTTATATCTTGTCAATTATGTGCGTTCTTGTGTTTCCATGCTATTAAATCAATTAATTTGATTATTCATTATTTTATGGACATACCGATTTTATCGCGTGTGACAGTGCCTTTTTTCTTCATGTTTCATATTAATCGATTCTCGACTCGTAATTAATTAATCTTTCCTTATTCGCTTCTGATTACACGCACTATGCATTTTATGATTTTGCAATTGATTTCAAGTTCCTGTCAAGACCGTATTTTACAGTTAAGTAATTGAATAATCGATTGAAATTTATTAATTTATTTAATGTATAAAATCATATGAAATTTAATATTATATTTGAATGGTAAATACTAAAATTCAATACTTTATTCATACCTTATTTTGTACAGTATATCTTCTTTTATAGGAGATGACAATTTTTTGTTGAAAAAAATTATTTAATTAATGATAAAAATAAAATTTATTAACTAACTATTTACAAAACTACATTATAGTATGATTAATACTTCGAGGCGTAAGTACTGTGAGCAACGTTGCCGTACATGCCACCTACTTTGCTTGGAATGTATCCAGAGAAGGAGTTGCTATGGTAAGAATTTTGGAAATTTTGCATGTTTAGGCCATTGCTTGATCCGGAGAATCCAGTGGATGAGAATCCAGAAGAACCGTATGAATCACTGGTATCAATATTGAAATCACCTTGGGAGCCAGTGTTGAAATCACCCTGGGAGCCAGTATTGAAATCACCTTGGGAGCCAATGTTGAAATCTCCCTGGGAACCAAAGTTGTAATCTCCTTGGGAACCAATGTTGAAATCTCCTTGAACAGATCCAATATTTGAAGAGACATAGGAAGCACCGCTGTTACCAAAAGTTTGAGGTCCTTGGGCGGAGAAACCTTGTTGAGCACCATGGGCGGCAAAACCTTGAGATCCAGATACTTGGGTGGCAATTCCGGAACCATAAGCTGGTTGCACGTTTTGGGTACGGATTTCTTGGGAATGGGTTTGAATTGGAACTGGGACTTTTACGTAGACTGGAGTAGGTACTTTGACTTGGACATGCTTAATGACTTCGACTGGGTATGGTTTTGGAACTGGAACGGCAACTTTCACTGGCTGAGCTACTTTCACGTAAATTGGAACCTTCACTGGCACTTGTTGGGTGATCTTGACTGGGTAGGGTTGTGGTACATGAACTGGTACTTTCACTTGAACTGGAACTGGGTATGGTTTTGGTACGTGGACAGTGTAGGGTTGTGGAACTTGGACTGGGACCCTCTCGGTAACAACAACTTGGTAGGGTTGTGGTACTTGAACTGGAACTTGTTTAATAACAGTGATCACTTTCTGTTGAACAGCAGAAGATCCTCCGATTCCTCCGGAAAATCCTCCACCGATTCCTCCTCCAATTCCTCCAGAGATACCACCAATATGCTGAGCATTAACGCCTCCTTGTTGGAATCCTCCTTGTTGGTAACCTCCTTGTTGGAATCCTCCTTGCTGGAAACCTCCCTGATGGAATCCTCCTTGTTGGAATCCTCCTTGCTGGAAACCTCCTTGCTGGAATCCTCCTTGTTGGAATCCTCCTTGCTGGATTTCTACTTGTTGTAATCCTCCTTGTTGGAAACCACCAGTTTTGAAAATATTACGTTGGAAACCACCTGCTGGGAATCCTCCAGACACTCCTCCATGTTGAATGCCACCACCGATTACACTGTGTTGGATTCCTCCAGAGAATCCACCTTTTTGGATACCACCAGCGATGATACCACCGTGTTGAATTCCTCCAGAGAATCCACCGTGTTGGATGCCACCAGCAAAACCATGATGATGATTTTCGCTGACACTAGCAACTGCAGCGCTTATAGCTAATAAAAGGCACTAGAATAATAAAATATTAAATTGTAATTAATACACAATCCTTTGCTATTGTAGCTCGCTCTACTCACCACAAAACTCCTCATGTTGGCGAACACAGATTGAATGATGATGGTCCATAGATTGTGGACCGTTTTATACTATTCACGCTGAGAAATTTAAAGAGGATGAAATTTGGTATACATTTCTATAGAATTGTATAATGTATGCGAAATTTCTCTTTTATGACCTTTTGCAATTTTTTGTTACAACATCAATACATTTAATTAATATTGGACTGAATTAATAAAAATAAGATTGCATTTGTTTTAGAAATACGCCTTAAAAAAATGACGTCTGCTAATAGAAATTGTATCTGGTGCAGCCTTTCTAATTATCGAAAGAACAAATCAGCACTTTCTTGTGCGCGTGCATAAATTTGTTATAAGAATATTCCGTTCACACTTTTCTGTATAAAATTATTTCCATTATTGTATAATTGTTGAAATAGTCAGCAGTAAATAACAGTTTTATATATGTATTATATTTCTATATACAATAAATTTTACTTTACTAATTTTAAAGATGTTTTTTATATGCATTATTTGTAGTGATTTATTTTATTATCTTTTGTAATTGTTTACATATTATTAATATGTCCAATTATTGTAAAATATATTACCAATAATTTAATAAAAATAATAAAGATAAATTATTACAACGAAGTGACCGCAGTATTTAGCCTTTGATTATTAGCTTTTATTCACATTTTAAACTTTTATGTAAATTTAAAAAATAAAATTACGCATAAACTTATATACTAAAATAAAAATGTATCCACTAGTATCTTATTATAAAATATGCAGTATAAGTTAAATATATAGAAAACTAACATAATATTTTTAAAAAATATTAATAAATTATAGATTTAAAAATGCTACAATGATCAAATTAATGTTTTTATAAACATGTTAATTTCACACTATATTTAATATTGTACTATTTTTTCTTAAATTAGAAATTTGTATTGATCTTAATTTGGGCCAAATGGATAAATATTTGGGAATTATGAGATTTGGGTATTATTTTTAAATAGTACAATAGTAATATGCATTTTATGCGAATTTATATTTCAAGTAACATAGGTTAACAATAGGTTAAACTTGGAAAGGATAATTTATGCAGATGGTGGTATTTTTAAAAAATATCTTGTTTTAATAAGAAAAACAAATTTATTAACTAAATATTTACAAAATTCTATACATAATAGTGACAAACAAATATAATTAATACTTTGAGGCGTAAGTACTGTGAGCTACGTTGCCGTACATGCCACCTACTTTGCTTGGAATGTATCCATTGAAAGAGCTGCTATGGTAAGAATTTTGGAAGTTTTGCATGTTAAGGCCATTGCTCGAGCTTCCTTGATTATTCAAATCAGATCCAGAGAATCCAGTGGATGAGAATCCAGAAGAACCATAAGAATCACCGCCATGGACACCAATGTTGAAATCTGATTGGGTATCAATATTGAAATCACCATGGGAACCAATGTTGTAATCTCCCTGAGAACCAATATTGAAATCTCCTTGGGAACCAATATGAGCAGAGCCAATGTTAGATGAGATGTAAGAAGCACCGCTGTTACCAAAAGTTTGAGGTCCTTGGGAGGAAAAACCCTGTTGAGCTCCATTAGCGGTGTAACCATGAGCTCCAGATACTTGGGTGGAGATTCCTGCACCATATGCTGGTTGCACGTTTTGGGCACGGATTTCTTGGGAATGGGTTTGAATTGGGACTGGGACTTTCACGTAGACTATAGTTGGTACTTTGACTTGGACATGCCTAATTACTTCCACCGGGTATGGTTTTGGAACTGGAACAGCAACCCTCACAGGCTGTGCTACTTTAACGTAGACTGGAACCTTAACAGGGACTTGTTGGGTGATCTTGACTGGGTAGGGTTGTGGTACATGAACTGGTACTTTCACTTGAACTGGAACTGGGTATGGTTTTGGTACGTGAACAGTGTAGGGTTGTGGAACTTGGACTGGGACTCTCTTGGTAACAATAACTTGGTAGGGTTGTGGTACTTGCACTGGAACTTGCTTGAAGACGGTGATCACTTTTTGTTGAACAGCAGAAGATCCACCGATTCCTCCACCAATATGATGAGAATCAACACCTCCTTGTTGGAATCCTCCTTGCTGGAAACCTTCCTGTTGGATACCGCCTTGTTGGAAACCTCCTTGTTGGTATTCTCCTTGTTGGTATTCTCCTTGTTGGTATCCTCCTTGTTGGTATCCTCCTTGTTGGTATCCTCCTTGTTGATATCCTCCTTGTTCGTATCCTCCTTGTTGGTATCCACCTTGTTGGAATCCTCCTTGTTGGTATCCACCTTGTAATCCTCCTTGTTGGAAACCACCTTGAGAGATTCCACCATGTTGGATTACACTGTGTTGAATTCCTCCAGAGATTCCACCGTGTTGGATTCCTCCAGAGAATCCACCGTGTTGGATACCACCAGCAATTCCATGATGATGATTTTCGCTTACACTAGCAACTGCAGCACTTATAGCTAAGAAAAGGCACTGAAAAATAAGGAAATATTGAAATATTATTAATAATCAATCCTTTCTAATTGCAATTCTCTGCACTCACCACAAAGCTCCTCATGTTGGTGAACGTAGATCGAATGATGCTGGACCGTATATTGTGGTCCGTTTTATACAATTCACGCAGAGAAATTTGCAGAAGATTAAATTTAGTATACTAATGTATTCAAAATTTCTCTTAGCTTATATTTGCAGTTTAGTGTTACAACACATAAATTTAATTAATATTAGATAGTACATAAATAAAACTAAAGATTTCATCTCATTTATAAAAAAAAAATGATTCTGTTATAGAATTGTTATTTGGTCCAGCCTTTCTAATTTACTTTGCATGTAAAGGAAGTTATAAAATCGATTATACTCTTCAAAATAACCGTTATGTTAATATATATAAATTCTTAAAATATTTTAAAATACGTAACAAATTTCAAAATTATGTATAATTATTTATTCTTCCTTCTAATATTATGTAATAAGAAAATACCTATTTTTTATTAAAAAGATTAATTTTAATCCCAAACTAATTTAATTTTTTATATTGTTAGAGAAACGTTAACTTAAGATAACAAACTGTATATGTTATTACATATGTTAGTGGTAATAATAATAATGTTTATTGCATCAGTTAAAAAAACAAAATAAATATATATAATTTCAAAAAAAAGTCAACTGATACAAAGCGCTATTGACCATTTGTTTTTCTGCCCGCTGTTGTTAGTATTATTTATGAATAAGCATGGATAAAGCTCATTTATCAAAAAATATCCTATTTTTTATTACACGTTGATTTTTTTTGATGTAACTAATATTTTAGATTAATTAATTAAAAAAAAAAAATATTAATTAGAAACTAAACAAACAATTTTAAGATATTAAAGAAGAGTTCTCATTTCATATTCAGAAAGACCTAATTCGATCAAAATTTGGGTGAATTAAAACTTGTTGTTTTATATTCAATCATTTCGAAATCAATTATAAATAATCAATTCAACAGGTTTATAATAAAACGCATTATTTTCTGTGCCCATAACTGTCGATTTAATAACGTTTCATTTGGAATCAACCTCTGATTCATCAAAATTTTTATAACTATATTTGTCAAATTTTTCATAAACTCATATTTTCTTATCAAAATATAATACCCATAATACTTTTCAATACTGTATAAATTACGTAATACTGAAAAAAAAAAATTAAATTTATTTTCTAATTAATGTTATACTTATATATAAGATGGGATAATAATAATAATACATGTTTTTAAAATTTAAAAAAACTTATTTTATTGATCTATTTACACAATTTTATACACCTCAGCGATTACTTCTAAAAGTTTACCACTTCCAGTTTCCGGCATAAGTATTGTAACCTTGGTTATTGTACATGCCTCCTTCCCTGCTTGGAATGTAACCGCTGAAAGATTAGTGTTGTACGAGCTTTGGACGTTAAGGCCATTGTGTGCGCTTCCACCGATGCTTTGAGCATTCAAGTCGAAATTTGCTTGGGACTGGACATCAGATCCAGAGCTGGAGAATCCGGTGGTGGAGAATCCGCCGTTGCCATATCCGGAAGATTCGAAAGAACCGCCGCCTTGGGCATTGATATCAAAATCACCTTGGGCTCCGATGTCGGAAGATCCAAAATTGGAGGAAGAGAAAGAACCAGCATCGTTTCCGAAAGATTGGCTTCCTTGGGAGGAAAAGTCTGATTGGCCTCCGATAGTTTGAATTCCTTGAGTGGAGAATCCGGCTTGGCCACCGGTAGATTGAATGCCTTCGGAGGAGAAACCTTGTTGGAAACCACCTTGAGCACCAGAGAATTGGATTTGTGGTCCAGCAGATTGGGTAGCGATTTGAGAGATAGCTGGTTGAACAGATTGGGTGCGGATCTCTTTGGTATGGGTATGGACTGGGACTGGGACTTTCACGTAGACTGGGGTTGGTACTTTGACTTGCACGTGCTTAATGACTTCGACTGGGTATGGTTTTGGGACTGGAACCTCTACTCTGACTGGGTGTGGTACTTTAACGTACACTGGAACCTTGACTGGAACTTGTTGAGTGATTTTGACTGGATATGGGTGAGGAACATGAACTGGGACTTTCACTTGGACTGGAACTGGGTATGGTTTTGGTACGTGGACGGCGTACGGTTGTGGAATTGGAACTTGGATCTTCTTGGTAACAGTAACTGGGTAGGGTTGTGGGACATGGACTGGAACTTGCTTGGTGACAGTAACAACTTTGTGTTGGACTAGAGCTGGTCCGCTGCTAACTTGAGCAACACCACCTCCAATTCCTCCTCCAATTCCACCTCCAATTCCTCCGGCAATTCCACCTCCAATTCCTCCTCCGATTCCAGCTCCAATTCCTCCAGAAACACCACCGCTAATTCCTTGGGCAATTCCAGCTCTAAATCCACCAGAGATACCACCTTGTTGGAAACCTCCATGTTGGAAACCTCCTTGTTGGAAACCTCCTTGTTGGAAACCGCCAGAAATTCCACCATGCTGAATTCCACCAGAGATTCCTACATTTTGTACACCACCGTGTTGGTATCCTTGAGAATATTCAACGTTTTGTACTCCAACTCCTTGATGGATTCCACCGGAAATTCCAGAGTTCTGCTGGAAATGGACATCATGGTGTCCAGCATCATGATGATGATGACTTCCCCCAGCACTAACAACTGCTGTAGTTACAGCTAATAGAAGGCACTGTAATTTTTTTTAAAGGATTAATAAAAATTGTATATGATTCCAACGCGGTGTTCTTACCACAAAGCTCCTCATCTTAACGAATTATGCTCGAATGATGGTCTTCCAAAATTCGTCGCCTGTTTTATAGTGAGAGAATTGTGAAATTTTGCTAGTCCGAATTTGAATAAAACATATAGATATTATATGTAATTGACGTAAAGAAGAAAATTTCTCTTTTTGTGACCTTTTCAGGTCACTGTTACGATACATAAATTTAAATATTATTAGATGATTTTTGTCATCTACAAATATTATTGAATATCATAAGAAATTAAGTTAATCAAACCCAACGTTATATAACATTTATATATTTGAAACAAATATTAGATAATACAATAATAAATACAAATTAAGTGATCAATAAATATTTTTGCGTTTATATAATAATGATACAGTGAAACACACATAACATTTACATATATTTGTAAATATTTTTATATAATAAATACAATTAATATTTTTTAAAATTTATTATCTTAAAATTGTTGAAATTGAAGAAAATAAATTATCATTACTTACATTGTTTTACATATTAATTTTATTTCATAATAAAATTGGTTTTTTAATCCTAATTAATTTATTAAAATACATCAACTAGATAAATATATAGTAAATATTACTATTAAGCAAAATACATATTATATAATTAGAAAGTTATTAAATTAATAACATTTCAATTAAAATTCCACAACGAAAGATGCGAGGACCACCCAGGTACGGTAGTTTTTGTAGATCCAAATTCAATTATCTTAAAAAAGCCGAGAGGTTCGCTCTGAAGCTGAGTTCTTTAAAATAAAAGCTTCGTCACTTCGTTCCTATTTTTACTAAGACTCCAAAGAAATGCAATAAATTTGAAATAATTACATTGACGATCCAATAAATATTTCATTGAACAACAAGTTCTTAGAGCTAGAATTCTTTGCGGAAAACATCAATTATTAATTATAGTTTATAAATTAATTATTCACTTTATTTTTTAACAAATCAATTTTAACTTTATATATTTTAAATAATATTGTGAGCAACAATAAATAAAATAGTCAAAAAATAAAAATTAAACATTTTGATATACAAAAATTAAATAAAACAATAATGATTTACTGATTCAATGATTATTATTTTCTTATTCACAAAATTTTCACTATTCTTAATATATTTTAATACTATAATCAATGTAAATATTTTTATTAACATAATATTGCAAAATTATGAAAATAGTTTATTATGATTATATGTAAATAATATGTAATAAGAATAAAATATTTATTTTAATAAAAAGAAGTTATCATTTATTTTATTGTATTAATGTCATGCGTTCTTTGCAAATGAAATTAAAAGCTTTTTATTTTTGGTAATTCTAATATTTGTTCACATTATTTGGAAGAGATGAAATAATACAAAATATTTAAAAATTTTAAAAACTTATTTTATTGATCTATTTACAAAACTTTATACACCTCAGCGGTTATTTTCTAAAAGTTTACCACTTCCAGTTTCCGGCATAAGTATTGTAACCTTGGTTATTGTACATGCCTCCTTCCCTGCTTGGAATGTAACCGCTGAAAGACTTAGTGTTGTACGAGCTTTGGACGTTAAGGCCATTGTGTGCGCTTCCACCGATGCTTTGAGCATTCAAGTCGAAATTTGCTTGGGACTGGACATCAGATCCAGAGCTGGAGAATCCGGTGGTGGAGAATCCGCCGTTGCCATATCCGGAAGATTCGAAAGAACCGCCGCCTTGGGCATTGATATCAAAATCACCTTGGGCTCCGATGTCGGAAGATCCAAAATTGGAGGAAGAGAAAGAACCAGCATCGTTTCCGAAAGATTGGCTTCCTTGGGAGGAAAAGTCTGATTGGCCTCCGATAGTTTGAATTCCTTGAGTGGAGAATCCGGCTTGGCCACCGGTAGATTGAATGCCTTCGGAGGAGAAACCTTGTTGGAAACCACCTTGAGCACCAGAGAATTGGATTTGTGGTCCAGCAGATTGGGTGGCGATTTGAGAGATAGCTGGTTGAACAGTTTGGGTGCGGATCTCATTGGTATGGGTATGGATGGGACTGGGACTTTCACGTAGACTGGGGTTGGTACTTTGACTTGCACGTGCTTAATGACTTCGACTGGGTATGGTTTTGGGACTGGAACCTCTACTCTGACTGGGTGTGGTACTTTAACGTACACTGGAACCTTGACTGGAACTTGTTGGGTGATTTTGACTGGATATGGGTGTGGAACATGAACTGGGACTTTCACTTGGACGGGAACTGGGTATGGTTTTGGTACATGGACGGCATACGGTTGTGGAATTTGAACATGGACTTTCTTGGTAACAGTAACTGGGTAGGGTTGAGGGACATGGACTGGAACTTGTTTGGTAACAGTAACAACTTTGTGTTGGACAAGAGCTGGTCCGCTGCTGACTTGAGCAACACCACCTCCAATTCCACCGCCAATTCCTCCTCCGATGCCAGCTCCAAATCCTCCAGAAACACCACCGCTAATTCCTTGAGCAATTCCAGCTCCAAATCCACCAGAGATACCACCTTGATGGAAACCTCCTTGTTGGAAACCACCAGAAATTCCACCATGCTGAATTCCACCAGAAATTCCACCATGCTGAATTCCACCAGAAATTCCACCATGCTGAATTCCACCAGAGATTCCTACATTTTGTACACCACCGTGTTGGAATCCTTGAGAATATTCAACGTTCTGTACTCCAACTCCTTGATGGATTCCACCGGAAATTCCAGAGTTCTGCTGGAAATGGACATCGTGGTGTCCAGCATCATGATGATGATGACTTCCCCCAGCACTAACAACTGCTGTAGTTACAGCTAACAAAAGGCACTATAACAAAATTTTAATGTATTAACAAAAATTGTATATGATTCCAATGCGGTGTTCTTACCACAAAGCTCCTCATCTTAACGAATTATGCTCGAATGATGATCTTCCAAAATTCGTCGCCTGTTTTATAGTGAGAGGATTGTGAAATTTTGCCAGTTCGAATTTCAATAGAACGTATACATATTATAGAAAGAAGAAGAGAATTTCTCTTTTTGTGACCTTTTCAGGTCACTATTACGATACATAAATTTAAATATTATTTGATGATTTAAAGTAGTTTAAAGTTATTTATTGGATACACAAATTGCATTACAATATTATTTAAAAATTTATTTTTGTATTAAACAATAATTTCACAAAACTGAATAATATATAAATTTACATTTCAAAAAGCATATATTGATTATCACTTTAAGTTTTTTATATACATACTTCAAAAATCTTGTATAATGGCACGATTAAATTAGCATATGACAAATATTATTCTATTGTAAATTACAAAAGTGTTTTTCTTACATATTATGTGATTTTTGATATTATTTGTGGTCATTATGTTTTGTGATAAAAATGCGTTAATTTAGTTATGCTAAAAATGTCGATTTCAGAGTAATTTTAGTTTATTACGAATATTCTTGTTTTGTTGTTAAAAATACTATTTGTTGATTAATGATGGTGTGAAGTGAAGTTCCATTTGTGTTCGTTTTGCTTTTACAGTAACAAATAATATCTGCCGATGTCGTTTTCGAATACGAATTGAATTATTATAAAAAGTTTTCAATCATGTGCGAGTCAATCTCACGTGGGTCGGGGTTGTGAATGCCGCGCCGGATACGAAGCTGAGCAATATTACGAGGCCTTGCCGTTGACAGCTTTACATTTCTATGCGAGCTTAGGTGGGCTCTTTTGGCGGAAATAAGCACGAGCTTTAGCTTTCTTTCACACCTTTCATGGGACTTCTTGATGGCACTCGATTCTTTCACTCCCCTCCCATTCCCCTTAAGATATGATGGAATTATAAAGGACGTCGCAAGAAGACTCATCGATCGTCCTCCGTCCATTACAATAATACATTTTTTTTGTCATATCCTCCTCCTGCTACTGTTGACGCAGACGACGAGGCCTCATCCTCTTCAAATTGCTTTTCTCCATCCCAATAATTTCGCTCACAATTGTAATAATTGGTGATCGGAAAATATGTTTTGTGAAACGCATGGCACAAGATTGGATTAAACAAATTCGCGGATGCATCGCGTCAAAAAGAAATTAAATTACAATTTTCCTATGTCAACTCGCGTCGCCTGTTTCGAGGGCGCGCGGAGCCGTTAAGGTCCTGACAGCAATCTACTGATCCGTGAACAGGAATTTAAATACGTCAAAACGCGAAAATATCACGGAGACATTTCAAAGTGCTGCTAACCCCATCGTGACATTCTAAAAGCTTCGGATGTATCGTTTATAGATTACGTCGCCAATACGAATCGATAAATTTCGAATAACATTGGAAATTCACACAATTAATGCAATGAAAATTTACATAGGAAAAGAATAGCCCACATATTTGTATCTCTCCTACTCACACCTACAATTCTGCAATCATCGCTTTTTTTCTCTCTGCAAGGTAGTGAAAGCGTTTCTAATTTTACTTTTAATTACGTAAACATATCTGTTTTAGATTTATATACAATTATGTCGCATTAGGTAAAACGTTTTGCCCACATTTTCTACATGCCCTAATCATAATTGAATATATTAAATACATCTTTTGCAATGTATAATTTTTTGCATAATATTAATATCGTACTAATGGGAATTTGTAGACCCCAATAATTTAATTATTTTGATCCAATTATATGAAAATCTGTAAGTTATTCAATTTTGGTTGTATTTGTATAAAATTGTAAAAAAAATAATAGGATAATTTTTAAACAAGAATATAATATAAATTATAATTGTAGCAATTTTTTGTGGTATTTTTAATTGAAATGTCTGTTATGTACAGTTGTTATGTAACTACAGTTAACGATATAGCAATAATCGTGTTTGCATTGAAACGTTTGAGTTCGGCGGAAGCAAAGTTAAATCTAATTAATTGATGAACTAATTAATTGCACATTGGAATATCATCAATTATTACGCAACCGGTGGGGTTGAAAAATTCGCGCGGGCGCGAATGTAATTGAAAT